TTAACAAGTAAACTGTAATTGTGATTTGACAAGGAGTGTCCATAACAATATTTGGCAACCACTGCAGAGCCCTGGTTTTAATCTCCCCTTGACTTTCTGCTTTAGATGGTGAGGATTTATTTGAAATGAGTTTGTTCTGCATACCAGATTTCACCATTCAAAACTAAAGCCTTTTCTGTCTGTTCTGCCTGATCCAGAACTACGCAAAAAACCCCAATACAAAGTTCATTTATTAATGAGTGAGAGAAGTTAGTATGGAACGATCTTTCTGAAGGCTAAATATGTTCGTGAGCATTTTTCCTATAGCAAGTTTATAAAGTTTAAATATATTAGCTACTGAAAGTAAGTAAAAAATTCTTTCAGTTGCTACACAGAATCACAGAATTTCTAGGTTGGAAGAGACCTTTAAGATCATCGAGTCCAACCCATGTTCTAACACCTCAACTAGATCATGGTGCCAAGTGCCACATCCAGTGTTTTTTTAAACACATCGAGGGATGGTGACTCCACCACCTCCCTGGGTAGATGATTCCAGTATTTGACCACTCTTTCTGTGAAAAACCTCCTCCTTAATTCTAGCCTGTATCTCCCTTGGCGCAGCTTGAGACTGTGTCCTCTTGTTCTCTCTGTTGTTGCCCTGAGAAAGAGACCGACCCCCAGCTCACCACAGTCACCCTTCAGGAAGCTGAAGAGAGTGATAAGGTCACCTCTGAGTCTCCTTTTCTCCAGGCTGAACAACCCCAGCTCCCTTAGTCGTTCTTCATACGACTTGTGTTCCAAGCCCCTCACCAGCCTCGTTGCTCTCCTTTGGACATGCTCAAGCATCTCAACGTCCCTCCTTAACTGAGGGGCCCAGAACTGGACGCAATACTCAAGGTGTGACCTCACCAGTGCCGAGTACAGGGGAAGAATGACCTCCCTGCTCCTGCTGGCCGCACTATTCCTGATACTAGCCAGGATGCCACTGGCCTCCTTGGCCACCTGGGCACACTGCTGGCTCATGTTCAGCCGACTGTCAACCAGCACGCCCAGGTCCCTTTCCTCCTGAGCACTGTCCAGCCACACCATCCCCAGCCTATAACGTTGCATGGGGTTATTGTGGCCAAAGTGCAGGACTCGGCACTTGGACTTATTCAACTTCATCCCATTAGATTCTGCCCATCCATCCAACTGTTCCAAGTCCCTCTGCAAAGCCCTCCGTCCCTCTAACAGATCGACACACACTCCCAGCTTAGTGTCATCTGCAAATTTGCTAATGAAAGACTCTAAACCCTCATCCATGTCATCAATAAAAATATTAAACAGAACTGGCCCCAGCACATACCGCTGAGGGACACCACTGGTGACTGGCCGCCGGCTGGATGCAGCACCATTCACCACCACTCTCTGGGCCTGGCCATACAGCCAGTTCCTAACCCAACAAAGAGTGCTCCTGTCCAAGCCATGGGCTGCCAGCTTGTGTAGGAGTATGCTCTGGGAGACAGTGTCAAAGGCCTTGCTGAAATCCAAATAAACAACATCTACAGCCTTCCCTGTATCCACTAGGCGGGTTACCTGGTCATAAAAGGTGACCAGGTTGGTCAAACATGACCTACCCCTCCTAAACCCATGCTGACTGGGTCTGATACCTTGGCCATCCTGTAAGTTCTGTGTGATGGCACTTAATATAAACTGTTCCATTATCTTGCCAGGTACTGAGGTCAGGCTGACTGGTCTATAATTACCAGGATCCTCCTTTGCACCCTTTTTGTGAATGGGTATCACGTTGGCCAGCTTTCAGTCATCCGGAACCTCACCAGTGAGCCAGGACTGATGGTAAATGATGGAGAGTGGCTTTGCAAGCTCATCTGCCAGCTCTCTCATTACCCTGGGGTGGATCCCGTCTGGTCCCATAGATTTATGAACATCCAAGCATTTCAGTAGTTCTTTGACTGCCTCCTCTTGGATAATGGGGGGACCGTTCTGCTCCCTGACACCATCAACCATTCCAGGCGGGCAGGTGTCTTGAAGGCAAGTCATCTTCCCACTAAAAACTGAAGCAAAGTAGGCATTAAGCACTTCTGCCTTCTCCTCATCTGCAGATGCTAAGTTCCCTCCCTTGTCCAATAAAGAACAAAGGCTGGTCTTAGCCTTCCTTCTAGCATTAAGGTATTTGTAAAAACATTTTTTATTATCCTTTACAGAAGTCACCATTCTAAGTTCAAAATGAGCTTTGGCCTCCCTAATTTTTTTTTCTGCATGCTCAAGCAGCCTTCTTGTATACTCCCTTAGAGACCCGACCCTCCTTCCAACGCTGATACATCCTCTTTTTATTCCTAAGTACCTCCAAAACCTCCTTGCCCAGCCAGGCTGGACGTTTACCCCATTGACTGATCTTTTGGCACACAGGGACAGTTTGTTCCTGCTATCATATTAAAGACTGTATAAGATAGTAAAGCATGATTCTGCTGTGCTGTGCTGTACAAAGTTGATTCATGGTTATACACAACAAAGCATAATTGGCCAGCAAGGCACTGACACTGGCTAAGGAAAGATTTTGTTCAGGAGATACTTAAAAATGTAGGCATGTGGTTATATTTTCCAATGTCAGATGAGACAGAGTGATGCAGATGTTTTCTTGTTTATAGCTTGTCAACTGTGCTATTATTGTATCTCTTAAAGATACTCACTATGAGTATAGCTTCTTAAGAGAATTGCTAAGAGCAAGCAGGAGCTATCCCTGAAAATTTCCTGGAAAGTTTATTTGCCACAAGATAAAATTACAAACTGTTGCAAACCATACATACCTTACCATTGCAAATTTCCACCTTTTCATGTCCTGTTTCTTGCATACAAAAGTAACTTTGGTTTTTAATATCCTACACAGACGTGGTTTTTGCTGATCTGTACTCTCTTTCTCTAGCCAGTTAGTATTAGCTTGGAAAATTTCTGGCTCTGTATTTCAGCTCCAGTTGATTTCAAATGCTACAAGCTTGGAAGAGACTTCTGCTTTTGGAAGTCAAGCTTCCTTGAATATAGAGGTACATCATAGATCTTCATGATCTGATTTTTAATGAAATACTCTGTTGTATGCATTATGTCAATAGTTTTTGGGGTTTTTTTAATATTTTACTACTGTTTTGGTGGCAAAAGAATATAGCCTGATGAAGCAGAAGATTTGATCTAGACACATTTTGGTAAAAGTATGTCTGTCTTAATGTGTGTAGTAGCTTTCAATTTACTGTGCATGTTTTTTGTTTTAGTGTTTCAGTGTTGGGATGCTTTCAGATAAGGTTTTTGAGGTAAAATTCCTCTTTGGACAGTAGGCACAATGCAAAGGAAATAGAAATGGGAATTGGTTACTTTTTAAACGTTTTTATGAACTTGACATTTTCAAACTCTTTTTCCCCCTCTGTTCTTCACTTTTTATTTCATAGGTGCACATACAATTCTCAGGCTACAGTTAGTAAATTTTTGTCATAATAATTTTAATTTAGCATTTTGGTTTGTTGGCCAAAACTTGTGCTGTCTGTGTAAACAAAACAGAAGGATCCCCCGGCTTAAGATATAACAAGGGATTTAAGCATTTAGGTGTTTTCAAAAAAGGCAGTAGTGCTTTGGCCATGCTATGTTTGCTCAAGTGTGAAGGACAGAGGTCCTTTTAGTATGTTTTTAATTAAAAGATTCTTTCTAATCAAAAGCTTCAACAATAACTGCTGCATAGCAAGTAGCTATGGTTACAGTGTGCAGGGAAGGGTATGTCATCATTGTTTGAGTGTCAGAGTTTAAACAATATAGGAAGAGATAGAATTTTAGAACCCTTTCCCTTGCTGAGGCATTTGTACTGATGTACAGTATATAAATCAAAAGAACTTCCTATCTGATAAAAAATAAAACCTTAACTAGAAGTACCTACCCATCTCTGTATTTGTTAATCACATCTCACATACAGCTGCGGCTTTAGAAGAAAGGCTGGGTAAGTATGATGGGCTTTCCAGCCCTTATCTAGCATTTGCCAGATTTCTGATACTTTAACCATCTCTTTATGGGTTAAAAATTTGTAGCAGTGCCACCAACGTGATGGTGGTGACACTCTGTGTGCAGCTTGTTGGGGCAGGCAGGCAGTGTGCCCTGTGCCTAGCTTCTTAGTCCCTAGTTTAGTGCCTCTTACTTCTGCCATGCCAAGAGTACATGGGCAGAAGATGTTTCTGGCGCTTCCGGGTGTGGTTTTTTTGTGAAGACACCTAAAAATAGTATTCTATTGCACAGTTTAAGGTTTTATGTAAAAAACAAACCTATACTATATGTACTTGGAGTAGTCTTAAAGTTCTTGTCTGAAGTAATGACATCCCTTCTCAGTATGCCTCCATCATGGATGTGTTCATTCCAAATGAATTCCACAGCTACAGTTCTTTGGGCATAAACTTGAGAAATAAATGGTCTGGATAACAGGAGAGACTTGTCTTGTACTTGTTAGCCCTTACATAATGTAACATAAGGGTTCTAAAATTAATATTTTTGTTGCATTTCAAAAATACGTAATTTTTCAGTAAAAAATAAAATTAAAAGTTGAAGTCCAGAAAATAAAGGGATGTCTATTTTTCCTTCAGAAATAGGAGTACAAGTAATGCCTACAGTGTAAAGGGCATACTTCTATTCAAATCAACAGAGTGACTGTGATGATTGCCATTTAAGAAAAAAAAAAAAGGAACAAATATTAAATGTTCTTTTGGTGGCTGATGTAATGATGGTGCAACTGGTTTTGTGCCCCTAGTTTCTTTCTGTACCTTTCTTTTTTTTTAATGTACTAGAATTTTTTTTCCCAGATGGGCAGAGAGTTTTACAATTCTCTGTTTAGACTGATGTTTGATGGTGGAGGGGAGTGAGTTCTTTCTAACTTTATAGACCATCTATTCTTCATATGGACTTCATATGTTGTGACATGAACTCTAGCGTGTAGATTGACAGAAAGTAATCTAGTGCAAATTAATACATTAAGTTTACCCTCCTTTTCCTTGTAGCACAATGGCTGAAAAATCAGCAAAACCAGCAAAACGGTTATCCTCAGACTCAAACTCTCATGAGGGAGCTGCAGCAGGAGAAATAAGTGCTCTGGAAGAGGCCTTTAGAAAATTTGCTGTCCATGGTGATACAAGAGCCACAGGAAAAGAAATGCATGGGAAGAACTGGTCAAAGCTATGTAAGGACTGCAATATCATAGATGGGAAGAATGTGACAACCACAGATGTTGACATCGTCTTCAGTAAAATCAAGTAAGTTCATTTCAGCCATAATTTCATTATCTTCTCTCTCCCCACTCTCCCCCCCATGTTAGTTAGAAACCATCTAAATTTACCTTCTGTTACTTCTGATGTTGTGAGACACTGTTTGACAAAATCAATCTCTTTCTTGTTCCTTGAAAAAATTTTCTTGTTTTGTCTGAAGATACAGCTTTCAGCTTCTGACCTACTATATTAAATTGACTTCAATTTCACAGCTGTTGTATTATTCAAAGACCATGATGTGATCAGAATAAATGTAGGCTATTCCAATAAACTGGTCTGCAGTAAGCGCTGTCACTATTTCTTGAAAGATATCTGAATGAAATCAGGATGTCAGGATGATCTTGCCAAAGCTTGGCCTCAGAAGACGGAGGCTAAGGTGGGATATGTACTAAAAGTCAGTATTCTAACAGCAGTCATGATGTCCAGCACAACACCAGCTCAAGTTTGAAGTATAGGGCCATGCCAGACTTAGGGTGACCCTTGGCTATGATGAATTAGGATTGTCTTGTCATCTGATCTTATTTTTGTGACTGGAGCTTTAGTGAAACTTTCTCCCCAGTTGAAAATCTAGGCAGGCTTAGTCAGAAACTTGTCAAACCTAAGAGAAGATATTAAAGGAAATATGTTAACAAGGGATTAATCTGTTATGGCATGTTCTGTATGAAGTCCCAAATAATTCTTTTGGTTTTACTTTATGTATAGAATTGAATTATTTTTACCTTTCATATTCCCCTGGCATCTGATATGATAATCTTGTCTTTTCTGCTTTTTATTACCACACTGTTTAAATTGTCTCACACATCATTGTGTTGAGGGATATACTTTTTAAATAGGTCTCTTAATTGTACTTGTAGCCTGTAGGAACACTTATTTGGCTTGTGCACTCAAATGTTGTGGTGTAATGCTGGGAAAACATGCAAACTGCATTGCTTACAAGGTAGCTGGAAAATCTTGCTACAAGCACTGACCATTTAGACTGCATCAAACTGGAGAAAGGCAGAGAAGAAAAGACCTTTAATCTTGAAAGTTGTCCGTTGTGGTGGTTTGACAGGAAATATGTTTTCTGGGACGCTGTGGTCAAGCCAGTGGAAGTTCAGATTTTAATATTGGCACCTAATGTGGCCATTGGGACATTGGATCCGCCTCTGAGAACACGGGGCTAAAAGCAGGGCTTGCGGCCTGGGAGGTTCTCTTGGGTTTCCAGCGGGAAAGAGTTCGGGTCTCTCCCCCGGCCCAGCTGCTGGCTGGGCGGGGAGAAGGGGAAAAGCCATGTGGCCAGGAGAGGTACGCCTGAGCCCGGGGGTGGAAGGGTGGAAGAGAGAGAGAAACCAGGAGCCATCAGGCGCCTCCCCCCGGGAGACAGAGAGAGAGAGAGAGAGCTGGTGCCTGAGACTGTTACCTTGAAACTTGATAAAATATGTGCCTGTGCCAGCAGCACGGCTGTGAATGAGAGAAGGGGCGGGGGGGGGGGCGTGCAGCCAGCCGCTTGTAGGAGCTCTTAACCCCTTTTCGGACAATGAAAACTTTACAGAACATTAACCTTTCCTAGAAGAGAGATAGAGTGGAAGATGAAGGAAATGGGCAAGTGTGAGAGAGGTTTGGGCAAGTGAGACATGTTGGAAGAATAGAGAAGAATCTTAGTGGGAAGAGATGATGGAGTGGCTTTTGCTGGACTCTTTTTGTATAGCCATGGACAGAACCATGTTCCTTGTGATACAGGGACTGCATTCTAGGGGGAGGCAATGCCTCAGAACCAAGAGGGTTCGGTGTAGGTACCCCTTGGCCCCAGGGGGTGAAAAATATGGGGGGGGGCAGGTGTCCCAAAGTTGAGACTGTGCCTTTTTGGAGTGGGAAGAAGCATCCTTAAAAGTCGACCCTAGAAGCAGCTCTGGTTGGTGTTCAGTGGTGAGAGCGCTGGACATGAAAGGAAGAGGTCACCATTGGCACAAGAAGGACTCCTTCTCCTCTTGATGAACTGAGGATTGAGTATTCTGAAGGGTGGTGCCAGACTGAGAGTCGATGATTTGGGGGATGTATTGTATTGGGAATTTGGTGGGGATGGAGGAGGAGATGTATTTGTGAAGTTTTCATTTTCCTTGTGTGTTACTTTTTTTTCCCTTTCCCTTGTAGTTTAGTTAATAATTTATTTTTTTTTTCCCTAAGTGGGAGCCGGTTTTGCTTATTCCTGGTCACATCTCACAGCAGAAACCAGGGAGAGAGTATTCTCATGGAGGCACTGGCATTGCGCCAGTGTCAAACCATGACATTTGTGTAACATATATAGTTAGAATAACCTTATTTATTTGATTGATTTCTTTCTTTGTTCCTTTTTTCCTTGGGGTTCTTACCTAGATAACTGTAAACACTACATATGCACACTCCCACCCTCTTGTCCTTGTATCAATCCCTACTTGAATGGAGTTAGGTATACCATCAGAGAGCTGGCTTATTTGAAATGGATGTTTAGGTTGTAGGGTTTTGTTTCTTTTTTGATCTATGATATTTTCAATTTTTTTTTTTACTTTCATCAGCTTAGAATTTTGTTGTATTATTTCCTGTAGATAAATATAATCTTATTGCTGCTTTCTCATATCAGTTTCTGGGCTCTTTAGTGACAGGATAACCCCATGATATGGCATAAACAGATGTGCAGCATTAGCAGATATAAAGAAGTATCAGGTTTGGTGACTGGGGCAGAAGGAATCCCATCCTGTTGCACAGGAGTGAGTTGTAAGGTGGCAGGTACCTGAGCCTCCTGGGAAATGTTAGCAAATCCCCTTGCTGCTGTTGAACGCTCCCACCTCAGCTTGAAGGTTTTTGTCTTTGTCTCTTGAGGGGGAGGGTTAGCTCAGCAGTTTCTCAGACCTTGCTCCTGTGACCGCTGTTAAGTGTTGTCATTTCTCTTGGAAGAGGCATACCATCTTTTCCTCTATCCAGTTGTCCTGGTTTAACTTCAGCCGGTGGCCAAGCCCCATGCAGCTGCTTGCTTACTCCCCCAACAGCAGCACTGGGGAGACAATTTAGAGTAAAAGCTGGAAAACTCATAGATGAGATAAAGACAGTTTATAGGAAAAGCAAAAGAAAACAAGAAATTAATTCAGTGCTTCCCTTGGGCAGCCAGATGTTCTGCCATGCCCAGGAGACCAGGGCCCCATCACATGTAACACGTTAGGAATACAAACACCATCACTCCAAATGTCCCTTCTCTTCTTCCTTCCACTATATTTACTGACCATGTTGTTGTGGGGTCTGGAATATCCCCCTGGTCAGTTGGGGTCATTTCATCTGTCCTGGCTGTGTCTTCTCCCAAGCACCCCCCCATTCATTGCCAGCATGGCAGTATGGAAAGCAGAAAAGGCCTTGGCTCTGTGCAAGTCCTGCTCAGCAATAACAAAAATATCACTAAATTATCAACCCTGTGCTCAGCACAAATCCAAAATACCGCCACTGTGAAGAAAATGAACTCTACCCTAGCCAAAACCAGCACTCCAGTATTTAATAGCTTAGTAGATAACTGCATCAAATGCAAAAGTATCTTAGTTTTAATTGTTTAATGTTTTGTTCATTACTCAACCTGTACATGTACTTATAACATATATTTTATATATTCTTCTCTTTTAAAGTGATTTTATTTTTAAATTATATTGCTTAAGTTGCATATGGGAGCTGAGATTTGCTCTCCTTATTAGAAAGGTCTGTATTTTTTGAATGTATGCTTTCAGTAGGTATACTTCCACATTTTCTTAACTGTTGGGGTTTTGTGGGTTTTTTTACATTTTTATTCTTGAGTGCATGTGTCAGCAATTCTTTTTAGTCTAGATCACATTTATTTCACATATAATATTTTAAGTTTTACAAAGGGAAGATCTAATGGTTGTAGAAACTCAAGTGTCAGTAATATGCTTTAACTTAGGAGGGTTAAGCATAAGCTGGGTATACAGGATTTCTTGAGCATGTTCAGACAACTATTTTTCCTTGCTTTCTCTTTTACTTCACATTTAACCCTAAGCTCAAGGATAATGATAGGTTTGGTAATGCTTCAAAGCAGGCATACTCACATAATAAACTCACATTCATTTTTATTTTACAAGCAGCTTTTTCCCAGCAGAGCTTTATGGTTTTTTGATAAACCAAAATTTTCCCCGTCTGTGTTAAATGTAAAACCTTAACCACTATAGAATAATCTCCAACTCCCTCCAAAAGTGCAAAGTGCAGCTTCCATGCTTCAATAAGAATTCTCCTTATGGTTACCAGAAGGCTTTGTGCATCACTCTTGGTTTTGGACTCTTAAGCTAAAGTGTGTCTCACAAGATTAGCCTCAGCCTGGGATTGTTATGATCAGTCAAAGTGATGGTTCAGTGGGATGGGGCTGGTGGATTTTAGCAGTTGTAGGGAACACAACAAACATTTAAAAAACATGTTTGCCATACCCAACTACGGTTGCCATCTGCATTGTGTTAGACCTTCCAAATGTATTTTTTGCTGGTTCTGTTACTGGGAAGCCACTGTACCTGTACCTAGCAGGGTTGTTTTCTAGCAAGCTACACTTAGACTTTATGACAATGGCCATGTTGTTCAGACACTAGAAAATAATTAATCAAATAGAAATGTTCTTTGGATTTATGAGTTACTATGTATAAAGCCCACATTTGTTGTCTTGATAAATTTCCCAGGCTTTATTTATTATTCTAGTAGATACTGGCAAAATAGGTAGGAAATACCTATTCTAGGATCCTACCTATGATAGGATAAAGTAACAAGGAAAATTAATAAGAGAGATGTTTACCTAAGAGCTACTGAAAGATAATGTTTTATTCATCAATTGGCAACTTGCTCTGCTCCAGGAGAGATTTTACCTCTGAAATTATTGAACATTTTTGTGGACTTAACACACCTTCTCCACCTCTGTCAAACCAAGTGAACAAAACTTCTGAGAGTTTTAAATGGTCTGTGATACTTCTTGAAAGCTGGGACCTATGTGTCTGTCT